AAAATTATTTCTATATCATTATTTTTTCTATAACATCTAAATAAGTTTAGTTGCATATCCTACCTCTATGTTTCAAAATATATTATATTAAAATAACAAAAAAAACGTGAAATATAGTCCATCTTCCATTGATTGTATTTCTTTTAATCATTAATAAAAATTTTAAATTTCTCAATATTTAATTTTTAGGTTAAACTTCTTAATTTGGTTCTTAAATTATTATACAGACTTTGATTTGGTCCCCAAAATAAAAAAATTCTCGATTTGATCTATATTATTTATCAATTTGCCCCAAATTAGTCATTATATAAAAAAAACAACTGATGTGTCTATTATTTAACAATAAAAAAAAAACTTAACGACAAACTTAACGACAAAAAATAACAATTTAATAGTCATGTGTCACATTAATAACCAAATACGTCAGTTGTTTTTTGTATAAAATGACTAACTTAAGGTAAATTGGTAAACAATAGGGATCAAATTGAAGATATTTACAATAATTTAAGGATCAAATTAAGAATTTTTTTAGTTTAGAAATCAAATTAGAGGTCTATAAAATAGTTTAGGGATTAAATTAAAAATTTAACTTAATTTTTATTTTTTTATTAATAATTAGAGATAGTGTAGTCTGCACAAAAGAGGTACTGCACCACTGACTCCTAAAATGAATGCTAATAATGTGATTTTGATTTTTGTAAGTGGACCTGCCACACTATATCAGGCAAAAGTACGGTCAATTACAATTTCAACAAGTAATCATGTGTCCCACCATGGCTATTATTATATCATCTTTTCTTTTTCTTTTTGGCCAAGTCATTAGATATTGACCAAGTCATTAGATATGCTCGCTAAAATAAACTTGGTTTACATAAAATAAAAGCATATATCCATTTCCTCTAAGGCCCATCATAACCGAGATACATGAACTAGGAAGTCCACCTCCAGCCCTTTTTAAAGTATTTAGGCCTATGCACCAGAAGAAGTTTAGGCCTAATTTCTATGGGCAGAGATGACATGAGCCCATGTTTTTGAGAACTATTTTTATTTTATTTTGGTACTTGAGAAAGAAAGGAACTAGGTAGAAATTATCCCACGGGGGAACACAGCTCCCAGATCATCTCCCAAACAAGATGTCACTGATTCCAGTCGATTTTATTAAATTTAATAAGTACCACAACAAATTTGATAAATACATACTTTTAACCATATACCTTAATAAGTTTGTAAGTTTTAACCCCTTACCTTATATTAGAATATTTTTAACCATTTACCTATATAAATCGAAGAAAATAACTCTTATTTAATGTCTTGTTAACTGATTGTTAGTTTTGTTAGTTGATTGTTAGTATTTTGTAATAAAAAATATGAGATTTAAATTCAATTTTATTTGTTAATTCTGTTAATGAAATACTAACAGTCAACTAACAGAATTAACAGTCAACAAATAAAGTTGACAATCAGCCAACAGAATTAACATTCAACTAATAGAATTAATAATTAGTTAATAGAACTAATAAAACGTTATAATTTGACATTAAATAAGTGTTATGTTCTTAAATTCGAGTTATTTTTTTTAATTCGTATAAATGAGAGGTTAAAAATGTCATATTATAAGATAAATGACTAAAACTTATAAAATTATTAAAATAAAAAGTTAAAATTAGATTTTTGCCAACGGATTTTTGTTATTGGGAAATGAGACAAAAATTTTAAATGACTGAACTTAACGAACACACATAGCTTTGAGTTTCAAAAACAAGGTTAAAACCTCAATTTAATCCCTCTATTTTGATAAAATAAAAATTAGTCCCTTTACTTAAAAAAAAAATTTTTTTGGTCCTTAAAGTTTGAAATCTAACTCCCCTTTTAGTTCATATGTTAAATTTTGACATTAGGTAATGAAAAATTTAAAATAAAAAGACCCAAAGGTAACTTTTTTTCAAAGTAGATGGACTAAGAAGAGATTAAAATTTGGCCTTTTATTTTAAAAATTTTATCATTTAACGTGTTATGCTTGTAAAAGTTGATGAAGAGATTAAAAAAAGATAAAAAATTCAAATTTTATGGATAAATTTTTTTTTTTAAATAGATGAACTAAAATTTTTTTTTATCAAAATAAAAAGATCAAAATAGAGGTTTAACAAATATATATATATATAGCTTCGATAATTATTTTTGTTATTATTATTTTTTTTTCCAATTGTCCATCAAGAATTCCGGAGTACGGAGATAATTGGCGTGGACTTTGGTCCGTGTTTCAGGGCGGAAACCTCAATTCTGAACCGAAGGTCGTGTGGAGTCGTCATAGTTGGAGAGTGGGTGGTAGGTGTCTTAAAAGTTGGTTTGACCGAGACAGAGAGTTCCCAAATCCTTGGAAATCCGGCATCCTCACCAAACAAAACAATTTTTTTTTACTAAATCTCTTGTTATCTTAAAATTATATTAAGTTTCTATTAATATGAAATTAAATTGCATTAGACCCTAGAAAGGAAAACTTTTTTAGCATATATTTTTTAATTAATAAGAATTGAATCTTGAATTCAAAATTTTACTTAAAAAAATTAAGTTTTTTTCTCTTTAAATTAATAAGTTATTGCTAAACAATTTTATTCTTATATATATAGAAAAGTAAATATTAATCATGATTTATAAAATAAATTA